CTTTATCTTATCCTGTCTTATATTACTGTGCCTTATACATGGGCCTTCGCTCCCTCCCACCGAGTTGTATTTCTCAGTACTATGCTGCTTAGTTTGTGCGTATCTGTATCGCCCACAATGTCGTGCACACTGCAGTTAGTTGCTCATGAACGCTGCTCAATACGTGTTCAGTTCAATTGAATTAAAATGATGGAATGAAAGTTGACTGAGTGAATGGATATTTACTAATGTGTTACTTTGTGGTAGGAATTAGTTGGGAGATAAGCTAATTTTTATTGTCTACTGTGTGTTTCACAGTATTCTGCAATTGGCATTTGAATTTAAAAGCTACCACTGACTGAAAATCTAGCCTAATATATTTTAAATCTTTAGGGAGATTTTTCCACTAAACAAGACAATTATATAACATTTAATTTTTATAACATTTAATTTTTATTCTTTTTAATTCTTGAAACACTATTTTAAACATATTTTCATCTATTTGTCAATTATTGTGACTAGGTAGTGACATTAAATGTATAAATAGGTATTTGTATAGTTTTAGGTTTCACATGTAAACTGTTAGGGGGAAGATGCTGTGATCCACAATAATCATAAGTGTATATAGTCACTTTTTTCAGAATTAAAAGATGCTTCCTCATGGAGATTTAGATACGTGGTCACTTAGTTAAAAGTGAAAATATCATTTTGGTTGATAATTTCAGTTATCTTATTTTGCTCAGAGGTATTTTCAGATGACATTAACTAAACTGGACTTTTAAGTATCAACTCTAACACTTTCTATATATATAAAAGCCTAAGTGACCATTATGACCGAATGACCAGAATGACAGGAATGACTGGTTGACCAGTTGCTATGATGCACACTGACCACCAGGGGGCAGACGCTCAATGCAGGAGCAGCCCCATGGTGGTCAGTGCGCTCCTGTAGCCAACTTCCTACGGCCCCTCCCCACAGCCAGCCCAGCCCCAGTGGGCCTCGATTGGGGGCGGGGCCGGCCGTCCAACCTCCCGCAGCCCCTCCCCCCAGCTGGTCTAGCCTCAATGAGTCCCGATTGCTGTCCAGACTAGGGGACCCCACCTGTGCACAAATTCGTGCACTGGGCCTCTAGTATAAGTATATAAGTATATGTAGGTACCAACTGTTATTCCCCATGCATTTGTGAAAGATCATTATTAATGGTCAATAATGTTTTAAAATTAAGGCCAAAGCATAGAGCATCACTTCATAGAAAAATATGTATAATCAAACCCTCAATGAAGATTAATTAGCATGTTTGTTACAAACACATTTTCAAGCTCCTTTGAATTAGTCAAGAGAATTTTCTAGAGAAACTGGAGAAAGTCTAATGGTTCACATACAGCTGGGTCCAAGTGCTCAAATGCCAGGGGTTTGATGCTCCCCCATTTCTTATCTGTGCTTCTTGGTGCAATGCTTGACCTCTCAGGTGGTCCTTGCTACCTGCTGGGAAATGTTGCATTAGCAGATCTTAACCTCTGTTCTTAAAACTCACAATCTAAGAGCAGTCTCCCAGCTTCAGGTCCTGGTTCCCATGAGAGGACTTGGATTGGCCCTTTTGGGATCATAAGTCCATCTCTTGGGTTAGTCGCTGGGAATAAAGTGATGAGCTCCATGATTGTCTAATCCTAAATCCTGTGGCCAGGGTCAGGCCAGTGAGACACTTTGCTTACCATTTCCACCAAAACTGTACAGGATGAGGTCGGGACAGTCGACCTGCTATTTTAGCCCACATTCACCATCCTTACCTGAAATATTGGATTATCTCAGGTTCCGAATTCAGAACTTTTCAGATTTTGGAAACATGATGGAGTATAGATTCTGATTATTGCATAACAGCAAGAATCTGGGAAAATATCCCATATACAAATTTATTATTTCTGCCACAAAACATATGACTATGCCCAGAAAGTAGGAAAAAGAAGGATTGTAGGTATTCTCATGTCATTTTTATGCCAATTGAGTTTGCCCCAAGTTTTTAAAAATCTTTGTTTGTACAATATTAGGATTTCGGGATTGCCAGTAAAAGGTTGAGAGTCTACACTACACATACGTGGTTGGATGTGTGTCATCCCCTGCGTGCTAGGCACCATGTTAGCTTGTACAGTAAAGTCTGTGATGGCAGAGACAGCTGTGTTTGCCTCCATGTCTTTGGACTTGGCATAGCTCCTGACATGTAGGGCGTGCTCATTAAATGTGCTTGTTGAATAAATAAGTGAGGCTATCAGGATTTTTGTGTGCATTGCTTCATGGAAGTAATGCTAACAGCTGCTCCATGACACAGAGATTATTTTTTCTATTCAGAACTTACCGAACGAACCTCAGTTTTGCCATTTACAGAAAGGGAGACAATGATACTCGGCAAGATGAGTGAAGCTCAGAGAGATTAAATAGCAAATTGGTCAGACAGACTGCAATTAGTTGATTACAGAGTAATAGCCTCGTCCATCTGACTTCGTTGCTGAACTGTTAGGTTATTCCACTGATGTCTACAAATGCTGCTACCTAGTTAGTTAACCAAAGGGTCCCTTAGGAGCTGGAACATTCTGTTCTGCCTGTAACAGTTATTTTGGTGCAGAGATACCATTTAGGGGAGATAGGGTATGCATATCATCCAAGCTACGGAATTCTTAAATTACATATTTTTCTAAGATATCCAGATCAGAAGAAACAGTCTTTATTTCGGCCCTCCCTAAACTCTGACTAGTGGATAATTTGCTTTAATTATTTTGAAGGAGCTCATTCTACTTATCATCTTGTGTAGATGTCACTATTGCTCTCAGTCTGGCCTTGTCTAATACGTGATGAAGCTATACTTCAACATCAGAGCCTGGACACATTAATAAATTAACCCACGAACAGAATCTTACATTTTTTTATTTCTTTGTACATTTTTATAATTTTAAAAATCCTAAAGCATCTCACATGTACAGCAGAAGTGCAGAGGACGCTAGCATTGTTTAGAGCAAAAACTGGAATATTTGTTGGTGTGGTGGTAAGAATTACACACACATATAAGGAAAGACTCATTTACATTGTGCCAACAGCAATCACATCTTAAGTCCCCAATTAAAATGTGATTTTTTTTTAACTCCAAAAGCTCCATGTGACTGTGTAGCCATCTGTTTAATGTAACAGCCGCCACTGCTTTGGGCATAGATAATTATTAGGATGAGGACAGTGCTGGGGAAAGATCACATCTCAGTTGAAAATGACAGTTAATTAAGCGGTAATTAGGGAGGGGTGCTTAGCATTATATTATATCCTGGGAAAGAAATCGGTATCCAGTCTTATCAATATAGGTATAAGTCATGTAGCGTATAAGACTATACATTTTGGATCATTATTTTAAAATCTAATATGTACATTAAAATATGTATTAATAAATAGCATATTTACTGAACTATATTCAATCAGGGGAAGTATTGTTTTCATAAATTATTTTTTGAATTGTTTGCATTTGTTTTTGGGTGGTGGTGTGTTTGGGGGTTTTTTTGTCAAAATATTTTTTATCTCAAGTTACTACATGGCAGTTTTGTGTTATCTGGCTCCCCTTACTGCTGTGAGGGCATCTTCAGCCCTCATCTCTGGAGGAATCCATGACCACAGCCCTGCAGCACACAGATTCCCCTGAGGAGAGCCTGTTAAAGCACTGTGGCCTGAAGTTAGCCATTCTAGGATATTGTCTGAGACATACAACCCATGGTTCAATTCGCTGAAGCACTTCTTACACGCCCGAGGGAGCGAAATGAATCAAGTAGCATAAAGCTATGCTCAGATTCATTCATTTACCAGAAAAGAAAAAAAGAAAAAAAAAAAAGGCCATGTCTCTGTGGGTTCAGAGGCTTCTAATAACTAGCATCCATACAGGTTTTAGTGTGAGGCTTTGAAAACCCTAATGTACCTCACTGTACATTCTGGATTCCCAAAGGATCTTTTATTTTTTAATTTCATATTTATCTCATCTGGTTTAATTTTCATGTTATTTCTTATCTTTCATTTGCTTATCATCATTTAAAAAAACGGTTCAGTGTCATTAAGGACTTCATCTTTCAGTTAGATGATTTTGTATGTAATTATCGGAAAAGAGATGAAAAACTTCCTTGATTATCACAAATGATAAGAGTTGAAAACAACTGGTAATTAGGAGCTTGGTTTGGGGGGTTAATTTCTATGTGGGCTACATAGAAGATGGATGTGCCTGTGAAATTGATATTCACTCACATTTTAAAAATAAAACATGTAGGCAGGAATACATCTCACATCTAAAACATCACATTTTTGTTGTATCAGAATTGTTTTAGTACTGCTTTTTAGTTTGTATTTAAGCTGAACTCCTTTTTAAAGGTTTTAATCATATCAATGGTCCCAACTTAGACTGTAAGTCTTCATAAATATTTCATGTTGATGTTGTTTGACATGGTTTGAGTGTCTGTCAGGTTTTCCCAGCTCTGTTTCAGCCCTGTCCCTTGTTGTTGTTTGGCTGTGTCATATGTCATGAAGGAACTGAAGGACTTGTCTTATTTGCTAAGCCCAGTCAGCACTCTTTCCACCGCCTCTCAAACTCCAGCTTCATGGCCTGGACCAGTGGTCGGCAAACTGCGGCTCGCCAGCCACATGCGGCTCTTTGGCCCCTTGAGAGTGGCCACGAAGTTTCAATCGCACTGTACGTGCGCACCCGCACGTGGTATTTTGTGGAAGAGCCACACTCAAGGGCCCGCAGTTTGCCGACCACTGGCTGAGACTAAGTCCTCGCCACAGTGGAGTTCTGGGAATGAATGACGGATCTGTGTCGCACCCAGAGCCTTACCTCTAGCATTCATTTTCCATCTTTGCAATTTCCATTTCCTCTTTTATTTAAATAAGTTGGAGTAAATGGATGCTCCTGCACGTCCCGTGAGCTCTTTTGAGACGAGCGTGGGCCTCTGGATGATACTGTTAATAATTTGTTCACGTTTTCTCTCTCTCTCTTCTTTTGTAGTCGCGACCTATCCCTTCCCACCTTACCTCAGCAGTTGCAGAGAGCATCCTGGCCTCGGCCTGTGAGAGCGAGAGCAGAAATGCTGCCAAGAGGATGCGCCTGGAGAAGCAGCAGGTACTGCGCCGCGTGGGGCCGGGGCGCCCAGCCAGCACGTGCGGCTCGGGGAGCCTCCTGTGCATGCTGAATGGGTGGATTTTGAAGTTCACAAAGACAGGGCTTTTGTGTCTTTCTGATAAGAATTTAAACTTGACATTGAAGGTTCGTGAGCGCCATGGAGACCTAGCAACCCAGATGTTCTGTGGTGGGAACCGGACAGTTGTAAATGGATGGGTTACCATTCTGTATGGCATCCTCTCTGAAGGCTGCTTGGTCAAGTCATGGGTCCTAAGTGATCACTTACAATACTTCTGTCAGTGTTCCTGGTTGGTTGTGCTAAGGACCTGATTGTGTTCAATTTTCATGAGCATCAACTTGTCATCCCTGTGGCCCACTGCAAAGTGGCAGCGTGTTGCGCTGGGGGTGGCGAGAGCACCACATAATGGGGCTGATGGGAAGTCCATACGTGGGGACATGACATAATGGAAGTCCATACCCCGGCTCACTCCCTCATTCGCGAATCATTCACTACGTGCCGTCAAGCGTACTCCTGTGTCTCTTTCCTCAGGGAGGATGTCCAGGGCTGTGGTGTGAGTGTGTTTTGTTCGTTGTTCCCTGGGGTTTCACTCAGTTTCTCCCTTGCTTTATCTACATCTTTCTGTCTCCCCTTCTTGTGTCTGGTATGTCTGTCTTTGTTTTATTTTTCTCTCTAGCCCTCTTCCTTAATTATCCATAATACAAAATTAAATTATAGCATAGAATTTAAATATTACCCATAATGTAAGTATTGCACATAGAAGTGTGCTGTATTCTTACTTTTAAATTATTTCTACAACAAATGACGGCGCGCTTCATATTTTTAATTGATATTGGGATGGGAAGATTAAATTGTGAATCCGATTTTGTTTTTCTTTTGAGCCAATGAAAGTAGAAAAATAAATGTTTTTCTATTCCAGGCTTAAATATTGAAAAGTGTTTTAGAATGGCATTATTTTAAATTCAATATGCCTGTTATTAATATGGCGTGTGTTAATAATTTTAAACAATGCAAAAGATGAAGCCTGTAGTTAAATAAAAAATAGTATTGGCTTCAGATAAAATTTATATATGAAAAAGCTAACTTTGAATTTGCTAATAATTCTTTGCTAAGTGTTTATTCACGTATTCATGTTCTCAGTTGTGACTTTTATCATTATTATAATTCTAAACTTTATATTAAAATGAGTTATAGTACTATAAATGGTGGAGCAAAAGTAGGCTTACAGTTGTGAGTATGCAAAATAGAGTTTATTCTTGTATTATTATTAATTATTGTATTATTTTCATATGAACAATGGTAGGCCTACTTTTTCCCTACCCTTCCACCTTGTGTAGTGATGGAGATTACACATTTTGGCATTAAATACATCTGGTTTTGAGTCTCAGCTGTACTCTTACTAATTGCGTAACTTTCAGAAAACTATTTCAATTCTCTCTACCTCTATTTCTTCGTATGCAAGATAAAAAGAATAGCAGTATTAGTCCTATAGGGTTGTTATGAGAACTCTAAATGACAGATTTCTGTTATGTACTTAGCATTTTGCTGGGCTCATAGTAAGTATCAATGAATCAGCTTAGAAAAGATGATTTTTAACTGATGTTCTAACTTTTCTGTTGCATCAATATAAGTAAAACTAAAAAAAGCATTATTTGTACTATCTCTTTCATAAATAGACCGAGTCTGATTTTAAAATCAGACTCGGTCTATTTGAGAGATTATAATTCTAGATATTTTAGTGGCAGGATTCTGGGATTCAGTGGGCTCTCCTGGTTATCGTCTTGCCATAAAGCCATTTAGTCTACATTCTAGAATATTCCTGCATTGTGCCAGTCATATGTAGAGTTGTTATGACTGATTCATGTTAAGTATTACCTATGACATTATTCTGTAATATCCCTCAAAGCTGTTCATCCCCCACTGTGTGGTCAACTACTTGACCACTGTTGGCCTAATCTGTGAAATCGGCATGTGAATATCAAACGCATAGATTTATCTTGAGGATTTAAGAAGGCAGTGCATGCGAAAGCACAGTATGTTTCTTAGTTTAAAGATGTATGATATCTATCCACCATTTGCTTGAGTACCTCAAGGGGTGCGGAAATCCCACCCCTAGCACTAAAGGTCTGCTTGTTACTGAAGCACATGTGCTGTTGGCAGACAGCTGGAGTCATTCCCATGGTCTTTCACTGGGCTCAGGTTTGCTTCCTGGAGCTTCTACCCATTGAAGAAAAACTGCTCACAATCATGAGGAGTGTGACTTTTTTTTTTTTTTAATATATTTTATTGATTTTTTACAGAGAGGAAGCGAGAGAGATAGATAGTTAGAAACATCGATGGGAGAGAAACATCGATCAGCCGCCTCCTACACATCTCCCACTGGGGATGTGCCCGCAGCCCAGGCATATGCCCTTGACCGGAATCGAACCTGGGACCTTTCAGTCCACAGGCCGATGCTCTATCCACTGAGCCAAACCAGTTTCGGCAGGAGTGTGACTTCTTACTACTGTCCTGGAGTAGGGACAAGAATGGGTGGGGACCAGTTGGCCTTCACCCTACTTCCCATATGAGCCATTTCTCCTCTGTACTCAGACACCGTGCTCGTTTATGGCCAGGCTCTGTCACCTGGGAAGGCGGGATGTCCAGTGTCACCCCCATAGCCGTGCTCTTTCCGGGCCCTGCGAGGGCTCAGTGTAGGGTTCATGAGAAATACGGAAGGAATGACAAAAAAATACAGCTTAGGATTTATTGGAAATCTGATAGGCACTTTACAGACGTTTCTCTCATTTAGCATTTTCCACAACCCCATGAGAGCAGGCATTATTATTCTCATTTACAGAGGAGGGAACTGAGGCCGAGAGGTGGGGCGGTTCGTACAAGGTTGCTCAGCTGCGTGAGCAAGTCCGGGTGTAAGTTCACATGGCGTGAGGCTGACACTTGCCATCTCTCCGCGGCCCTGTCCCTTCGTGTTGTGTTCATCGAGGGAAAACCCATGTTCAGGAACCAACTCTTCAGTCGCGTCCCATCTGTGCCTCTGCTCGGTGTTCTTGGCAGTGCGGCTTCTGTTGGAAAACTCCGCTTTCTTCACAGAGACGTTTCCTTCTTCATAGCAACAGGCCTCCCCAGCGAGCAGAGTTACTCCGAGATGCTGTTTCTGTCTCCATATGCGCTTGACCGAGGTTCCCACCTTCCCAAAGTGCTTCGCATCCTCAGAGAGACTGGTCATGCACTGAGAGTGCTGGCTTCCTGAGGGAGTTTTACGTTAAAATGTCGGCACTACTTCTTACTGTGAATTCTGCAGATCTCACTGGACACGCCACACAGAGGCTTCTGCTGGGGATTCTGCACTTCCCACCACAGCATGGCGGTGGGCATCCTCTCCCGATGGGACCCAAACCCTCTCTTTGCACAGGTAGAAGCAGCCAGAGCTCTTGAGGGCTGGCAAGGAGATCATCTTTGGCCGTGAGCATTCTTAACCCAACTCACGATTCTTGGACTTTGCCGGTGACTCAGAGATTCGTCACTGACCCCCTGTCTTTCTGTAGGTACTTGAGGGTCTAAATCAGGGGTCCTCAAACTTTTTAAACAGGGGGCCAGTTCACTGTCCCTCAGATCATTGGAGGGCCGGACTATAGTTTAAAAAACAACTATGAACAAATTCCTATGCACACTGCACATATCTTATTTTGAAGTAAAAAAACAAAACGGGAACAAACATAATATTTGTATTTGCATGTGGCCCGCGGGCCGTAGTTTGAGGACTCCTGGTCTAAAACCTGGACAGTTAAAACCTGGGTTCTATTGAGCTGCACACCTGCCTGCTGGCCGCCCATGGTGAGCCTCAGGTAGGGCTGTCAGTGTGTATGCCCTTCTGAGTTTGTGAAGCTTGATGAATCAGGTACATTTGAAAAGCTCTTTTACCTGTGCACATGAGAGGTGCTGTGGACGGGTGAAGCGCCTTTCCTGCAAGCCCACCTCGGCCAGGATCCGGAGGAGGCGTGTTACCATGTAGCCTCGGCCCTGCAGCAGGCCCGGGGCCAGGACAGCACCTCTTGCTCCATTAGGAATCCGGTATCTCAGAGCTGAGGTCAGTCTTCAGCGTGTTGCAGAATACATTCAGCATCACATTTCTGTTCACATGAAAACCTAGACTTTCTAACGTATCTAGGAAATTGTTCCACACTCTGACACTTCAAAAAGATGGGCAATCTCAGCCTTCCCTTTCATAATTCTGTGACACCGCACATGTGAAAAAATGGTCTTTTTCTCTGCCTCTGCTGTTTCATTACTTTTTCCTCAAAAACAAAGAGATCTCAATGTTCTTGGTGACAATTTAACTAACTAGACAGAGGCAGGGAATCAAACCAACACCCTCTGTGTGCATGGGACAGCGCTCAGCTAACTAGAACATACCAGTCTGGCCAACGGTTTCTCTCTTTGATGGACAGGACTCTGAATCTGGAAACTTCATTTCTTTTGGGTGACATGTATGGGTTTGGGGGAGAATAGGAACCAGCCTCAATTTCTGATTTTTTATTTTATTTTTATTTTTTTGCCTTTCTGTTGCTCATTTGTATTCTGGCTTCATTGAAAATTCTCCCACATTTTTATAGAAATTATTTTTTTAAAAAACTTTGGGCACATCTTTAGCTTAGAGTGTTATTAATTTCAAGTTGATAAATGTCAGTACGTGAGTAGGTGGTTTGAATTCAGACAGAGAAATTCAACATGTTATGTTGATACACTTCTCAGTGCCAAAGTCAGGAGAACATATGGTTTCCTAGGTTCTCCATGAAGACAGCATTTTCATTAATATCACTTGTTTTACAACCACTTATTTTTAGGCTTAGCGGATAAATGAAGAATCTGACATATTTGGTTTATGCCAATATATTCCTTTTTTTGTAATTTGTTTTCTCATAATCTGTTCATTCCTTGCCCTGTCTCTTCTCTTTAACCACGTTAAAACCCATTAGTTACT